ATGAGGGGCGCACAAGTGGGACGAGAAAAGTTGAAGTGGCGATCGTTTGGCTTTCTTTAAATGGGCAGACACCCCGCCGGCCATTGCGGGCTGCATGTGTCCTGGCTGCCGCTGTGTAAAATGGTGTGCCGAACATCGCGGTGCTCCATGGCCCGACGGCAACCCTCGAGGCACCCCACTATCCCCTGCTCATGGGGCTATTCCCACCCCTCGATTCGACTCTCCCACCCAGCCTGCAGGCGGATCGTTGTCGGGTTCGTTTCCAGCCGCGAAGACTATTAGGAGCCGCGATGCCACCACCCCTTCACCTGGGACTGCCGTGTGAGACATGCCTCGCAGCCCGATCTTCGGGAGGCCTCGTGCATTGTGTAGGATCTGTGACAGTTCCGCGACAAATCTGTGACCAATAGCCCATGGCACTCTTCGTCCCGCAGCCGCTGGCTCTAGAGACGCAACAGACCCTACAGATCTGTTGGGCGTTGGGGCTAGGTGCGTGCGGACAGCGTCCGCTGCTGGTGGTGCACTGTTGCGCGAGGGCCGCGTATCGCAAATATGCTTGGCCGCTGAACGGGTGTTGCATTGCCCAACAAATTGGGCCGTTCGTGCCGAACGCTGCACTATTCAAATTTCGCTCACCCTGGACTTCAAGGAACCAATCATCACGAAGCTCCTCTCAGACACAACAGCGAAGCTGACGGCCACCCCCGTTCCTTGTCCTCATCATGCTGCTCATTACGTAATGTTCACTACGCTCACAGGCACACCTGCCGTAGCACGCAACGTTTACGACCGCACCCTGGCGGGTAATGCGTGCGTTGTCGAATGTAATGTGCTCGTGAACAAAAGAGAACCAACACGGCACCGGTCGGGGGATACGGGCGGCTGCAAATATCTGTGCGCCTGTCCAAGAACCTGGCATATCCCGCGCATCGCGTCAACCCGCGATCACCCTTTTCCCTGCGAGATTGCCCGGCCCAGTACTTCGGCCCTCCAATCCCCCCCCCTGACGTGCTGGCTGGCTCCAGGTCGGCCCTCCACCTGTGCCGAATCTCGGGCCTTGATTGCTGACGTGCGGCGACCAGGAGGGCACGCCTTCAGCGGCGGGCAGCGTGCGGCGGGGGCAGCGGCCATATTAGCGGAGCCCCCCAGCATTCACCGGCTTTGGTTGGGCCTCGCGGGGCCATCAGGGAGCGAGAGGACCGGGGCGCGGCAGGCGGCGGAGTGCCGCCTAGCGAAGGAGGGCTCGGACGGGCCGCGGCGTTTTGGGGAGCCCGGAGCGAATTCCCCCCGTGGAGGTCCCTGGCCGTGAGGCGGCCGCGAATCGCCCCGGGGTCATCGGCGTTTCTGCGGCTGCGGCGGGGACTGGCGCCGGTGGCGGCGGGGAGAGCGGGGCAGGCCGGACGGTGGACGGCGCCCGGGGCTGCTACAGGGTGAATCCAGATTCAGGGTCGGCGCGGGGGGATACGTGGGTATCTGGGCGGACGGCGATTTGACTGCATTGTGCGAATTGCACTGCCTGGGAGAAAATGTCGGGGTGCCGAAACTTGTCCGGCGCCTTTCCGGCGACCGACGGGTCCGGGTGCCAGGAGGCGCGCGGGCCGCGCGTCTCCATGGACGAGTCGCCGGGCGCGCGGCCCTGCAGGCCGATCCGGCGCATGGGGGCCTCGCTGGACGGATCGGCGCTCTGCGGCACACCGCGGGGGATTGGGCGGCTGAGCGCGCGGCTGCCGCGTGTTGCCGCCAGCCCTCGGGCGGCCCCCTCGCCGCGGCTGTCGCGCGAGCTGACCCGGCCGGCCGAGCTGGATGCTGCGATCGTGGAGGAAGCCAGCCGCCTTGGGGAGATCCCGCTGCGCCAAATCATGGAGGTGCCGAGGAGGGCCATGGGCCGGGGCAATGCGGCGGGCAAGGAATCGGCGATGCTCGCCCGGACGCGGTCCGCTCCGGCTGAGGCGTTCGCCCAGCCGCGCTACGAGGCGCAGAGCCTGGAGGGGAACATCATCTCCGCGGCGCAGATCTCGGGCGAGCGGGCGCGGCCGGAGAATGCCTTCGCGGCGGCGTACGAGGTGGGGGACAAGCTGGGCGTGGGCACGTACGGTGAGGTGTTCAAGGCCACGGAGCGGGCCACGGGGCGGCAGGTGGCGGTGAAGACAATCAACATGCGCGGCGTGCGGTGCAGCCCGCAGCGGGTGGCGCTGGAGGTGGCGATGCTGAAGCGGCTGACGGACAACAAGATGGTGGCGCAGTTCTACGACACAGTGGAGGAGGGGGACAAGCTGCACATCGTGATGGAGCTCTGCAGCGGCGGCGACCTGAGGGACTACGTCAAGGTCGGGAGCCCGCGCGTGCCGCGTGCGCGATCTTTGGGACGGATTTGTTGCACTGGCGTTAGTTGGATCCCGGCGTGCGGCTGCGTTCGCCCGGGTGGGAGGACCTTAGCTGGCCGTCATCTGACGGTCGCGCGGCGAAACTGGCCAGGCTAGCCGGAAGTTTGTGTTCGGCTTGCCAATCCCCCGGAGGGCGGGGGCTCGAGGAATGCCCATTTGCGAATGAGTGAGATCTTTGTACCGTGAGCGTTCGTGCGTCCGAGTGGCATCGGTGCCCATCCAAGAATCGAATGCCGCCGCAACGCGGCTGGGGAGGCTCAAGGCGGCACCTCCAGCCCCGCCCAGCCCCGCCTGTCTGCCCTCGATGCGCGGATTTCCTCGGGGGGGTCTGGACGATGGGCCATGGCGGCGTGCGCGTTCCTTCTTGTTGGGTGGGAGAACCTCAGTTGCAGGGACTGAGGGAAGCGCTGTTGCAGGATAATGGCCCGCTGAACGAGTCTCAGGCTGCCATGGTGGCGCACCAAGTGCTCCTGCTGCTGCGCGAGTTCCACGAGGCGCGAATCGTGCACGGCGACGTGAAGCCCGCAAACTTCGTCATCGCGAACAAGCTCAGCTACCAGCTGTTCAAGAGGGGCATGAACTTCCTGCCGCGAGGGTGGCTGAAGGCCGTGGACTTCGGTTGCAGCCAGAACTGCGGAAAGGGTCGAATTCAGCAGAAGCTCGGGACGCCCAGCCACTGGGCTCCAGAGGTGTTTGGCCAGGTGGGCAGCGCACGTTGCGATGGCTCCACGCCGTGTGTGGTGTGCGTTGCGCGCCCTCTTCTTCGCTGTGACAAGGCGCTGTTTTCTTGGCCGGAATCCATCCAGGTTGCAGCCATCCAATACGACGAGGCACCGCCTTGTCAACCCTCAGTTTGAATCGGGGTGTCCTGCTGGGCTCCAGGAGTTCTTTGGAATGCGGTCAGGGTCTGGTTTTTGCGTTTGTGCAATCTGTGGCTGTCCCTGTGGTGAATTTATGGCATGCTTACCTTGTTTGGCGACGCTGTCCCCCCAGACCTACCACCTCGAGGCGGACGTGTGGAGCACAGGGGTGTTGGTGTACGAGCTGCTTGCCGGCCGGCTGCCGTTTTTCACCAAGAAAGAAGAGCACAGAATGCGTTCCGAACGGGACATCCTCAAGGCCCTGATGTTCAAGGAGGCGGACTTTGGGTGTGAGGAACTTAAGGGCGTCTCACCCGAGTGCCTCGACTTCCTGAAGCAGTTGTTGGTGAAAAACCACAACCACAGAATGACCGTCGAACAGGCCCTTGAGCACAAGTGGATGAAGAACCATGTGCGCGCACACAAGAGCGCCGAGAAGGAGGTCGTGGAGGGTCTGCTGAAGAGGCAGAACTGGGGCGTGCCCGTCGCTTGCTGAGCGGGTCCAGAACATTCTTACGATCGACTCGACAGATGTGCGCGGGGGCGGCAGAACGGGAAGCACCGCCCCTGAAGTCGGTCGTGTTGCGAGACGAGATACGCATGTGCATTGGGGAGTTGGCGATGGTGCCACGGGCTGCCGGCCCCCCTCTGCACACCAGATTTATTTTCTTCCCTGAGTGCAGAAGGGGGATGCAAGATGTGCCGCTTTGAGTGATTCATTCATTGGGGGGTGCGTTGAGTGCACCTGCGTTTGCGCTTTGGGCACCGGGGTGGTCTTGATTTGCGATAATGTGGTTGGGTGGTTCAGCTAAGGTTCCTTTGGGCACCAAGGTGGTGCCGATGGCTGGCACGGTGCCATCGAGAAGATATCTTACAAGCGTGTGGAGAGGACCTTGCCAGGACTGTGCCTGCGCGATTGGGCGTGCAGCGGGTCTGGCACTGGGGATAGGGGGTGGGCGCCCAGAGATGCGCTGTGGGTCCCTCCCAATGTGCTTGCTGGAGAAGCAGCAGGGCACGTTCACAATCGGGTCGTGGATCTTTGGGGCACAGGGATGACGTCAGGGGACGCAAGAGTGAACGAGAGGAAACACTTCCATACTAGTGTGCCGAAGCGCATCTTCCAAGACTGTGCACGCCGACGCGCGTTGGGTGTTTGTGGACCCATTAGCGGCCAGCCTGGTATTCTGGTGCGTATTTTTTTTGATAACGATTGTTGGAGCCACAGGTTATCATTTGTGTTGCTGGGGTTGGGTTGAGGCTGACAGTAGGGTTGTGGCCAGCTGACTGGGTGGCGGGCGCGCCCTGCGAGCATGAACCGAGCCGTGCTGCTGGGTGGCGCGCTGTAGAGGAGGAAAAAAGGTATGGGCTTTGTTGGCGACGAATGACCCTACAGAAATGGATGAATGTTGGCTGGTGTGCGTGAGGTGTTGTTGTTCATGACATTGTGTAACAGCAATTGCATGTCGCGTCAGCGGACCGCTTAACGGGCAGCGTCCCTTCACATTGGGGGCCCCCTTGGCTGGAGTGCGTGGGTTTGGACCGCAGGGTACACCGCAAAGCACCACCAGGCAGCATCCCCTTCCCCTTTCCCATTCCCAGGGTGTGGATGGTGCTGTCATTTGCCCTGACCAACTTGCACGGAGTCAGCATGTCATCGTCTTCCGCACCTTGGAAGAGGGGACGTGGCAATTCTAACGGTTCGCTGCAGCGCCGTGCCCCCTGCCCGCCCGGCAACGTACAACGGGACGGCGCGACCGGTGCGCCCACGGCTTCGCCGGGTACAGTAACGTCAACCCCGGGTCGGTTCGTCGGACGTGGCGCGACCAGGGCGGCACGCGGGTGTAAAAACGGACGATGGCTGGGTTCGACTGGCTCATTAGTTGCATCCCCATCCGACGGTCGCTATTTGCGGTGAGCCGGGGCCCGCCGTGGGCACACCACAAGGTTTGCCGGCAGCATCAGCTGGGCTGGGAGACGGCTGCTGGCCCGCCCCACGGCCACCGCGCGGGCTCTGGCAATCCGGCGAGGCTGCCTCCCCTCGCGCCAAGGGCCCCGGGACTGCAGGTTGGCCGCGAGGCGCGATCCACGGTCCTGCGGACACGTGCGGGGTGCGGATTCGAGATCGCCAGGTGGGGCGGCACTCGCCGAAGGGCGGCCGGGAGGTCTGATTTCGCGCCTCCGGGGCCGGGCGTGGCCGCTCAAGGCCGCAATCTGTGCTCTTGGCGGGTTGGCCACTCGCGCCAGTGAGCGGCCAGGGGCTGGGGAGTCCCTGAGGCGATCGAACAGAGGCCGCCGCACCTAGTGGTGCCTCTGCTCCGAGCAGTAGAAGCGCGAGGCGGACGCCGTGTGCGCCTCGCTGCCCTCATCGACCTTCCCATTGCCGCTCGAGGTGGCGGGCCGCCCGCGCGTGGTCCCGAGCTCCCAGATCCTCCCGGCTGAGGCCCGTCGCCCACCGACGCTCTCCGACGCCACCGGGGGGGGGGGGGTTTGCGCCCCTGCGCGGAGACACAGTCCCCACGGGCGGCCTTCAGCCACGGCCTTCAGTTGCGGACTTCGTCAGTTTGGATCGGCGCCGGAGGTACTGGGCCTGGGGCCAAGGTGCCGTCGTATCGGGCCCGCCGGCGCCCGGACATGTGTGCGCCGGGGACGTGCCGCAAGCTCCGGTGCGCGGGCTCGCTAATCGGCGTCACTTAGTCATCGGGTCAGACCCGCCAGACTGCTGCTCACCGGGCACATGAACAGGGGCAAGGTGCCCCTACGGATGCTCGTTCCGCTGGAGGAGCCCTTAGGCCCGGCCGCGGCCCCCGACGACGGGCCGCCGCGGCGGTCGGCCTTCGAGATGGGCGCCGGCGAGCCGCTGCCACGCATCCGCATCTCCGAGGACCCATGGGGCCGGGCCTCGCCGCCGCCCGCGCCGATCGTGGAGGATTGGATCGACGGCCGGCCGCGCGGGAGCCGGCCGCTGAGCCCATCGAGCGCCGGGACGGCGCCCGAGACCGTGGCCGGGACAGCGGACGGGCGATCGCAATCAATGGGAGACGGGCGATCGAGTCGATTTGGGAGGTCCGGCATCGGCAGGGGTTCGCTGTCGACAGACGGGAGGGCCGGGTCCGCTATCGACGGACGGTCGATGGCGGAGGGCGGGTTTATGATTGCGGAGGGTGGCTGGGACGAGAGGGCGGGGGGAGGGGACGGTGGAGAGGGCCGGGCGGCGGGTGGCGTGGTTAGGAGGCTCAGGAGGGCGCTGGGCAGGGCGCGGTCGAGCCTGTGCTTGGGGGGGCGGGGCATGGAAGCCGGCGGGAAGGTTTGGAAGGAGACCAGGAGATGAACTGCGTGGATGGAGGTCCTGTTTATGGTTGCCATGTTGGGGATCTGGGTGTGGATGCCAGTGGGCTGATGGTTGCATTGGGCGGGGAAGGTGCAGGGAAGCCGCGAACGAGCCGACGCGTGGGATGAATGCATTTTGGGATGGATCTTCCCGAGGCCCGGGACTCGTGGAAGTTTGCGCTGTGGTGCTGGGTGTGGGCTGCGTGGCGAGGAAAGGCGCCTGGGGGCGTGGCAGGTCGCAAAAACGATTGAATGTGAATTGAAGGGATTGTTTGCGGGGCGTGAAGGACGGGCGACGAGGCGGGCGGGCCGCAGGGCGATGGTTGAGTTGCAGGCGCAGCGTTGGGCCGTGCTGTAACTGGCCTTTGCGCGGTGCGATTTTTCTATTGAACAGGCTTTTGAGTATTAGCGCAGCCCCAACGGCTGTGTTGGATGTCGCGTTTCTACTCACCATGGGTTTGGGGTGAATGACGCTCTCATCGCTCATGAATGTGGGCATTGTAGCTGTCTTGGTAGCTCCCATGGTGGAGTTCTCCATGCGCGGCAAACTGCATAACGCCAGGGTTCACGGTTTGTCGACCCTCTATGCGCTGCACACACCGTCCATGCATGGGACGCCTCTAGTGCCGGTCGTTTCCAACGTAAACGGTGGCAATGCAGGCCAGGCGGTCGCGGCCAAACACCAGTGCGCAACCATGCACGTGGACCATACGAAAGACAAAGCTCTGATGTGCTGGCAATGTGGCAATGAAGGGTGACGTTGACAGGGTTTGCTGAACATGACAAAGTGTGCACTGCCTGCACGTTCAAAACAGAGCCGTCCCAAATGTGCAACGCCCAGTGATTCCCCATCGCAGATTGCCAGGACAATCAGGGATGGTGCGCGGAGCAAAGCGGGTGTCAAACTCGGCCTTTTACAGATGATGCAACAACACAGATCACCATCCGCACACACATCTGTTGAGACTTCGTTCCGCACAACCAAACGTCGGCGTCCTCTTTGGGAAGGCTTCGTACTCACGAACTCGTATGCGTGGCTAGCATTTGAGTGCAGTGTTCCGTGGCAATGTTGCATCTTGCAACGCGCAATACAATGTGCCTCGGCTCAGCCACAGCGCACGTGGGCGCCGTTCTTTCGTGCGTGCCGCGCGCAGGGCACATTTTCAGAAACGTCCTGACATGCAGTTCAACGTCCAAAAAGAGTCCAACATAGGCACTGAGACAGGGCCCAGCCCATTGCCGAAGTGCCAACCCAACATAGAAGAAACCAGCCGGCAAGGGTGCAGTCACGCCCTGGAGATCAACGGTTGTAGTCCCTAACTCTACGAGACCCTACCATGCGCCTCAACAGTGTCAACAAAAGGGAACAACTCGCCGGCGCATTGGACAACCTTGCACACTCCAAAATCAAAATTCCGCCAAAAAAATATCTAATCATACATGTATACACACACATGCAAACAACAGACAAACTCACAGCTGTGAGTACACACCCTCTGACCTCCCCATCCAGGCGTATCGATTCGTATCATATCGCACAACATCACATCGTATCACACTGCAGGCGCTGCTTCGATTCAACGCCTGCACCCTCCTTCCATGCCCACTCAACGGCCACACACCGCATACGCATTATTGCACCACAATGGGCATGCACTCGCGCCAAGTAAAACGGCGCCCGCAAGTGTGGGACCCCAGAATCGGCATTCACAAAAAGGGTGACCACTCACATACACGCCCCCACCCGATCCCTACTCCTATGTTCTACACGAGGCGCCGGAACTGCCCCCGCCCTGGCAAACACCTGTCGCCCCAAACCGCAGTGCAGCACTTCCAAACCCAATACCCATGCTCTGGGAGAGCGACACTCGACGGCTGTTCCTTTATTCAGATCCTCATGGCGCCTTGGTCGACTTTCGCTAGCACCATCGACAACCCCCAATGGCACGGTGCGACGCCATCTCTGCTAAGTTCCGGATCTCCGGCCGGTCGACATCGAACAATGCGCTGCAGGCTCGCCCCGTGCTGCAGCGCGTCTTTGGTGCCGCCTGAGCTCGCCACAGCGCCTAAGTCTCGGTTTCTCACGCCCACCCACCCGGCCCTGCAGCACTGACCCGCCCTTTGCATACTATGCACAAAAGATGCCAACCACGAGAAGGGCTTCGCCGCACCCAAACCATGAAATCAAGGAATTCAATGCACCCCATCAGGCAAGAACCGATGCAGCGAGCGGCTGGAGGGCTTGCTTTCCCGCAGGCCTGGAACCCAACCCAGGAAAGAGGCAACTGCCCGCGACACTTCCCTCGCCATCATTCATTACTACAGCCTGCACGGCAACGGCCACTTGTTGAAGACAAGGGCAACCGCACAGGGGTGCCCCCGATGACCTTCACCTCGTTTGTTCCCAAACCCTCGCAAAATAAACGCCCGGTTACTGAAAAGCAACCGCCGTTGCCTCCTCCTGAACCCACCAAACTGTATGTGCACATAAGCATGGACTCGCCAGAAAAAAGTTCACCAACCTGCCGTGCTCCTCCCAAGAAAACGCGGTGGCCTGTCACAGGCACCGACCTGTACACAAGAGGAAAATAGCCCCAACGACCAACAACAAAATGCAGCCAACACTAGCTCCCTGCTGCTGACTTGCCGCCACTGTGAGGTCGGGGCGAGCTGTCAGGTCATGGCCACGAGAAAAATGAAGGCGCCCATCAGAGCCCGATGCGCCCTAATTCTCAGCCCCAATATCCGCCCTTCTCCCTTGAACGAAAATCCCGCTCCTTGAACGTTATACGAGGGCGGACGTTCGGACCCACCGGGAATGGCTCTGGGTCACCCTGTGTTGGTCCGTCGCTTGTGAAAAGGACGGGGCGGTGTTTCTTGTCCTCGTGCATCAAACTGGAGTTCTGAAAGTGGTTTACAAGGGCAGCCTTGCCCTGGATGCGAGCGTAAGTTATGCAACACACCTTCTCGCTGTTGAATCGCTCCCACTTCTTGTTGTGGAAGCGCTCGAACACAGGAATGATGTCCTTGGGCGTCATCATGTTGATGAACCCGTAGCCAACATTGCATTTGTTCTTGAAGTCGATGGGGAGGTAGAAGAAGTCGTACTTGCCTTTCAGCGTCTCGTCCACCGACGCCAGCAGCATCTTCTGCGTGTACTTGTTGGGTATGTTCTTGATCATAAGGGTGGTCCGCTTGTCCTCCCCCAAATTCACGCGCTCAATGTCTAAGGCGTACAGGCGCTGCTGCTGCACACGCCGCTCTGCTTCCAGCACTGGATCCACGTTCCTTCGGCTAAGGCGTCCGCCTGACCTGTGGTCGCGGTGCTGCTCACGAGACTCCTCCTGGGACAAGTTCAAAGCCGGAGAACTTGCACTCTTTGAGAGGCCAGACAAGTCCACACCGCTGGACCCAGCCGCGTTCATCAGGCCAGGTAGTGTCCCGCCCCCAATCGCCTGGTGCAGAAGCTGTGCAGCATTCGCGGTGATCGCTGCCTGGAGGTACGGGTTGGGGGACTGAGAGCCCATTCCGGCATTCGCCAGCAGCCCAGGAATGCTTCCTGTGGCCACGCCTGCCTGCTGCAGCTTGGAGATCGTTTCATACAGGTTTGCATTCGTTGCCGTCTGAGGCGCAAGGCCCTGGGCGCTCGGGAGATGGGCACCAGGCTGACCCCACACTGGAGGGTTGGCAGCCACAGGAGGCGCACCCCTGCCCATAGCCTGCTGGGCCGCACTCGGAGAGCCCAAGTACCCACCCTGCTGCAGCCCTGAGATCGCACTGCTCAGTGCAGACTGCTGCCCATAGATGTCCAGTCCAGAGCCCACACTGGTGCTGTTGGAGAGGGCAGTCCGCGCTCCCATGTGCTGCCCCAACAGATGAGCAGCATTGGGGTTGTTCAGCAGACCGGGCGGCAACCCCGCAGCCTGCAAGACCTCAGGAGACGGCTGGGGCCCATGACCTGCTTGGTGCATGTAACCTGGGACCAAGCCAGGACCAGGCAGGCCTTTTGGCGCAAACCCCTTCAGCTGGGCATCCAGCACGCGCCCTTCTGCCACACCAGGCATACCTCCCATGGGTGTAGCTGCCGCTCCACCCAAATTCGTCATAAGAGCGGGCTGCCGGCCATATAGCCTGCTGCCCAGGCTGGAAGCACTGTCTGAGATCCGCAGGCCCTTGGCCAGCTGGGCTGTGAGGGGTAGTGCGCCGCCGGCCAGCTGTGGCACAGGGGGAACCTTCAAGGCGCCCATCGAGGATGAAGAGGCCATGTCCTGCAGCGCCAGGGCGCTGTTGGATTTTACCATGCTGGAAGTCCCCACAGCCGACCCCAGAAAGGTACTGGGCTGGGTGGAGGGGGATCCCTGGGCCACTCCCGTGCCAAAGAAATCCTCGGCATTTTGAACAGTGCCCATTGCCAGCAGGGACTTCATTCTTGATGAACCGTCCCAGCTGTGTGCCGTGGGCTGATCCTGGAGGATCCATCGACAAACGATCAGTAGCCACGGGCATGGACAGGTCGCGCAGAATACACAGGGCTGCTGGTCACAACCGCTGGAGCCAGGTGCGACGATCAGCATAGGGTTCTGAAACTCTGCCATGGGCGCTCAATTTCTAATTGCATCGTACACATGCAACTTAAAAAACTACATTGCGTTCAAAGTGTTGTTTGCTAGGGCACATGCACTTGTGCGACAGCTGAAGCACGATTCAACAATAGCATACAAAACACACGTTCAAGGCAAGAAAAGATCGCCCATGCCATCATGTGTTTGCGTTGGGTCAAAGATCTTACCAACAGATCCCCAGAGCCCCCGTTCGCCAGTCCTTGCACATTGGCGGCCTGCTGCATGGGAACAGCACCCTCCACCTGACCATCTGGCCGAGTCTGAGATCCAGCTACGACAGCCCGATTTATGGCCTGCATTGCCAAGTTTGCACGACGGATGTCATAGAACTCGATCAGCTTGTGGTTCTTCTTGTCTGGCACCTCCTGGATGCGCTTCACATCTCCATACATAGAGAAAATCCGGGCAAGTTCCTGGCAGTCGAGGTGCGGGTCGCAGTTGAATATGAGAATGGTGCCCTGCGCAAGGAAAACACATGCACCGATAGTTCACTCATCAGCACATATATTAGTGGTGGTGACTTGAGGGATGGGCGATAGTGCACAGTGCACAGGACATCATCTTCTAGGCACTTCAGATCTGCTGGTCTGCACACCTAAACTCCTTTCAAAACGACCAGGCAGCATTGGAAATTCAGTGAGCAAGGGGAGGAATGCCCAATCCGGAATCTCACCTCCCCAAAGTTCCCGAAAGAGCTCCCCATAGCAGAGAACTGGACTTGCAAAGCCTGATCTGCAAGTGTTCGACCCTGAAGCTCTCGCTTGGCATTGAAGGCGGCCCTCAAGTCGAAAAAGGAAACAACCACTATGCCATGGGATCTGTATTCTGTCCTTAGTGTCTGGACATCGCCGAAAGTCTGCAAGCATACAGATATTATGAGGCTTGCACAGAGTCAAAATGTGTTGACAACCTTGACACGAACATTCATATTTTCACATATTCAAGCATCTTTCCGGGTTGCCAAAGAGTTATAAGCAAGCAGCAAGTTGTTGGCAATGGACGCTGCTGATAACAAACTGTTCCATATGCGCCTATGTCTCCGGGTGGAACTGTGGGTACAATGCCTAGCTAACTTGCAGTTGACATTCCACACAACAAGTTGTTGGACGCAACATCCAGTCCAGTGCAGATGTGGTGCAATGACCAGCCACTCGTCCATTCCCACCTGAAAGAGAGCCTTGAGATACTCATCTGACATGGTGCTGCTAATGTTGCTGCAAATGAGTGTGCGGGAAGGATGAACGCTGATCTTTAATTGTGAGGTTCTGTCTCCTGAGCTTCCAGGAGACTCTACAGCACCAGAGCTGTCCCACTGCCTTGCACCCTCCTTTTCCTGCTCAAGCCCCATGCTGAACACGTCTTCCTCTACAGTAGCAAGAGAGGGCAGGTCGGTGGCTGACCTGCCACCAGATAAGCAGCACGATTTGGACACAGACAATCACAGCAATTCCTGCCGCAAACGCACAATTTGGACAGACTGCCACAGCGGTGCTTGCTGCAGAGGCAAGGATGCTTCAGAGCAAAAACTCTCAAGAGTGTTGTGCAGAAGCACCGTCAGATGCTGCGCTGCTTGGCTGGTGGGCTGCCTACAAGTGATGCAAGCAAGATGGCAGCTTGGAAGCAAGGCACGATCTTGGCTGCATGGAAATGGTGACCCCACCTTGAATGTAGCGACTTAGTGTTGTATGCAGGTGTAGGTGTGGGCTCTTCATCAATACGTCCTGCAGTATACAAGGCAAGTGCCTATTTACAATTCAGCACCAGATCAAAACCACCATGCCGATGCATGTTTGTCCAAGGCTGCCCCAAAGCTTTTCGTTCCACCCACTGACATTCAAAAGCCGACCTGTTGCTGCAGCACCAAGACACAAATTCAAGCAGGTTGCAGGCCAAGGCCACAGAGAGCATACAGTCTGGGTCAGGTGGCAGTGGGAGGAAACCTACGTGCGGCAACAAGAAGAGACGAGACAGTTTGTGAAAAGTTGAGACAATTCCGTCCCACACTCGGCAATGCCCATCCGTACCCATGTACTCTTCAGAGATGCGTCCCGTCAGTCCTAAGCAGCTCAAGCTGCGAGACAATCCGTCCACGGCCGCTTCGTCCTTGCCGAAGCCCTCCGGGTACTGCAGCACCGAGGCGTTTGCGGGGGGGAAGTACATCGGGGGCTGCGTGGAGCCCGCCAGAATCTGTTCAGCGGCGGCCATGGCGCCGTCGGCCCTCTGTTCGCACCACAACGCGAGTCAGAGCCTGCACGGCTGGCGCGCGGCCCGCGGGATGGCTCCTGAAGCGCGGAAGCCGCCATGGGCAGGGCGCGTGCGTCCACAGTCGCGCACCAACGAGCAGTCCACACACACCCAAAGCCCACCCAAAACTAGCAATGCTGCCCATGCACAAAACGTGGGGCGCACGATGCGTGAGAAGAAGTGCCTAGGGCGCCAGGCCAGCGCCGGAACGACGCCGACCAACGGACGGCCCGTCGCCGCAGGCCAACCGCGTCCCCCAACCCCAACCCACCAAACCAACGGAGGATCCCATTGCAGAAACCCTGCGTTCCGCACTGTCGGAATTACTCCCGCGGCGACGCGCCACGGCCCCCGCACCTCCCGGCAACGCTGCCCCCTTACGGCTCCCCGGGCGCAGCGCAGACCGGCCGCACCGGCATCCCACACAGTTCCCCTCAAACACCCTGCCACCCACCGCCACGGTTCGGTGGCCTACAGCCCAAGAGCGGCCTTTCAAGCCCGATCCGAGGCGTCCGCGCCACTGCAAGCATCCAGCCGCGGCGCGCACTGACGGCGCAACGTGCCAGGCGCCGCGGTCAGCCACGCTTCGGGAGCCCCCCCTCACACCCAGCCCCTGCGCAGAAAGCACTCGAACCAAAACACGGCACCCCGGCCGGATTGGAGCCCGCCACCAGCGCATTCCCCCCTCGTGACAAGGGGCGCACCGCCGCGGCCCTCGCCGCGCGGCCCGCAATCGAATCCGCCCCGTTATCGGCTGGCTTCCGCCATCCGACCCCAATGGCCCGGCCGGGCACCGCCAACCGCGACCGCCCAACGCGGCTCCCACGTCCCCAAAAACGACCAAGCGCAAGCCATCCCCCTGCGAGTCCCTTCCCCTGTCGTAACTCATTCAGCCAAAGCCGTGGGTAGATCCAGTACCCCGCCCCGGCAAGGGGCGAGGCTCGTCGACGCGGCCTCGCCGGAACAAGCGCACCCCTGCACAACAAAGTCGATGGGACCCGCCGGCGCGCCGCACGAGTCACCTGTTCGCCAGCGCTCGGGCCCGCGGCGTCGCACGCCCCGCCCTCCCTCGGCATCCCGATCATCCCTCTGCTCCGGCTCGCGGCGCCAGGCCACCACGCCGCCACCGCGCAACCAGCGCGCAAGGCGACCTTCACCCGCCGGCCCCCTTCGCGAGAAGAAAGATCCGCCGCGAGCGGAATCGGGCGCCCGTGAAAGCAACGGCGCCTGGCGTCGAGTGGCTTGCGCGTGTCGCGCTGCTCGACCGCGCCAGGGGGGGCAACCGACCAGGCCAGCCCAGCGGCGTGGCTGCCTCCGTGCCCAAAGGACTGACTCCCTTCTCTAATTGCGGCGCCGCAAAAATTCTGGAAATTGGGGCGGGGGGAATGGATGGACCGGGTGGCTCTGCCACGTGGCGGCGGGGGTCACCCAGGCGCACACTAACTCACCCGGTGCAGGGCTTGGGAAGGGGCCTTTCGAACTCGCCCTGGCTGGGCGCGTAACGCGGCGCTGTGTCAGACTGCAGGGGGTGCAGTCCAGGTGCGCGAGGCAGCCCGCCGGGCGCAGGCGTTTTGTCACGTGGTCGCAGCGAGGGGGCTGTGGGAGTCTCCGTGGCCGCGTGGGGGCCTGCAAGGCATGTGGCGGAAAGGGACGCCCGTGAGCGGACGCGAATTGCCCGCTTTTCCGCGCGCACTTTTGCCGACCAATCTGCGGCAAGTTGGTTCTTTCATCTTTGCGGTTCAGGGATGGGGTGTCAATAGGGTCGAGAAGTGCGAGGGCATCCAGCTAATCTCGAGAACAGGCCAGTGGCCGGCTGATCGGCTGTCAAGCTTCGCTGCTTTGTGCGATCAGGACAGAGTTGGAGAACGATGGGCCACACCCACAGGGGCCGCGGTGGCTGTTTCGCGCACCGGGCGTTCACAACGCCCCAACCCACAACAGGTTCAAGTCCATTTCCATTGGGAAGCGCCCGACAGGATTCCAAACGGCCCAGTGACTAGTTTCCAAAGCACCTTGTCACCTTACGTTTAAGGCACTTATAGACTTCAGTGCAAAGGTTGCACGCATTGCCCCCACCCAGCCGCCGACGCGGCATTTGCCATGTTTTGCTCCTTTTGCCGGTCACCAACTCAAGACAACTTCTCGGAATCTCGTTGGCGGAGGGATTTCTGTGCCCAAGCCGTCGCTGCCACTTGTCTTGAGCTTGGATGGCCATGTGCATAGCAGTGATCCGTCCACTTCACTTGTGTGGCGTAAACGCGGTGCCTGCCTGTTTTCTCGTGCTTCTCCAGGAGGATTATGGAGACTGTCAGGTCAGATTCAAGGCAGGTTTGATTGACAGTTAAGAATTTTGTTTAGAAGCCAGAATCACCTAGCTGCAAGTACGGTAACCAGCTTTGTATCGTCCCGCCAAGCCAACAGTGAACTTTGTTTATGGACTTATGACCGGGGCACTGGCTGGGCGCGACTCCACCGAAGTGCTGCAATCCTTTTGCCGCGATGGATGCCTCTCATAATTTGTTTGTGGGGTTTGTAGTGCACTAACTGCAATGGTCTACCACATCAGCAGCAACAAGACTACATCACTTATTGGATGCTTTGGGGCACTGGCTCAAAGTCTCAAATTACCGTTCCTAACTGCGTCTGCGTTCCGGGCACGTTCTTGTTCCTGGGTCATGGTAATGCCGAGGCCTAGTTTCAATGCTGGCAAGGGTGGGCAGAGTGTCCCCACTGGTTTCAACCACAGCGACGAGAGGAATATGTTGGAACCCTGAACCTCTTCTTTGGGCCTGTCCGCGATTCAAGAGAATGGCTGCATTCAGGGACGTACAGCCTTCCCTTATCTTGGGACTGCTCATGGAGTTGTGCAAGGTCTGGGCAAGTCCATTTGCACCTTCCAAAGAATGTATTCTGGCTGCTGCGGGCATGAATACAGTAATTGTGCCCTGGGAGTAGGTATCTGGCCAGATGCGTTCTGTTGCTTTCAGAGTTGACTGCCTAACCCAACAGGTGATGGTGATTATCTGTATTGAATCCAGCTGCCAAGTTTTGACGATCTCACCTCTTCACTTTGTGGCACAATCTGCATGGTCTATGACTTGTGCCATGGATAATTTGCAACCCACAGCACGGGGAAGATGTGCAAAAAGACGTTTTCACCAGAGGACCGCGCTGCTCTTTCGCGTCTTTTTGCTTGACCCCTTCCCTGTGCTGTGGGCTGCCAATGGTTCGAAGGGGGTGCCGTAAGGATACCCGAAAAGAAATGTGCCGTTGAGGACCTCAGGCAAGAATATGACGTGTCAGTGCTTTTACTAGAACTGCTATCCACTTCGTAGTTTGGTTGCTGGTTGGTGGTACACCAATTGCCAAAAAAACGCGGTTCCTGCAAAAGTCTGCAGGACACAAATTGGATTCCGCAGTTAGGCTGCAAACCGGTACACGGTACCCTGGTACTGGCTGGATGGGGCCGCATCCCGTATCGGCACTGCCCTGCGCTCGAATCGTCTCCCTGTTCGCTCAGGCCGACGGCGACTTCGAATCCTTCCTCGAAGGTTGGGTTGCGCCCGTGCCCAACGCAAGCGGGAACGGCGGTGCGCCTCCTCAGCTGACGCCAAGACCTCACCATCGCCAACATTCAACTGAACCATTTCAGCCAGTTCTGCTGGGAGAACGCCGTCCACGCCGCCTGTATCGCGGCCAGGAAACGAGCAACGGGGCAACCAGGCCAATGGGTCCCACTGCCACTTCCTTGACGACTTGGGACGACGGGCGCCACCGCGATACGTACCCATCCCAGGCGCCGGTGAAAGTTCGAACACACACCGCACGTCTATTTGTCATGCCCGACTGCCGCCAGCCGCAGCGACGCGATCGTCCGATCGAGCGATGCCAGCCACGCCCCGCGGACGTCCATCTCCCGCGGCCATCAACGCCGATGAATCCGCGGCGTGCGCCTCGCGGCGGGTGGACGGCTCCCGTCCTCGACCAGGCCGCGTCCAGACCCCTCTAATCCGGACGCCGGCTCCTCGCAGCCCGCCAACACGCCACCCCCTGTCCGGAGGTGGGCATCCTCGTCGGCGCCCCTCAGCCCCAACACCGGGTGCAGTAACCGCCGCCCCGCCCGCACAAACCCCTGACTCACGCCGCAGGCGGCCGCAGAAACCCCAGCCGGGGGCCCGATGGCCGCAGCCGGCGTTAAGTACAGCCTGGCGCCGCCTGCGTACAGGCTAGCCCTTAAGTACCGCCGCCCCATGTCGGGCCTGGGACAGGGGCAGCCGGCAGCGATCGACAGGCTCCCGCCGTTTTGCACCCCCCCCGGCGTGCTCCCAAAAGCAGCACGCCTCCGGCCTCTTGCAGCGCCTCTCCCGCGCTGGCAAACCCCTTTCTGTCCACGAGATTATTGCAGCACGGCCTAACGCCCCCCCCCTTGACGATCGGGAACTCATCTGCGGGATCGCCTGAAAAAATTTCCCCTCCTGGGCGACTTTTTCGCATCCTCCTGCCAACAAGGGGCCTGCGCACGCGATGGGAAAGGGGGCGCACATGGATGCGGCGGGATGGGCGCCCGGCCAGGGCGCCGATCGGGAGGGGCGGGCGGCGTGCCGCGCGCACAACTTCAGCGCGGGGCCGGCGATGCTGGACACGGGCGCGATGACCTATGTGCAGGAGAACCTGCTGGACTACGAGGGCTGTGGGATGGGCATCCACGAGATGAGCCACAGGGACGTGGGCGGGCCGGTGCACGAGATGATGGCGCGGACGTCGGACAACGTGCGGCGCCTACTGGGCGTGCCGGACAACTACCGAATCCTGTTCTTCCAGGTGGGGCGGCGGCCGGGCCAAGGGCCTCGCGGCCAGAGGCCGGGGAGGTCTTTCTAAGTTTTTCGTGTCCTGGGGTGGGTTTGCGGGGCGCCGTTGGGCTCCTCAAGGGGTGGGATCGCGGCTGGCGGGGAAAATTGCGGCTGGTGATGGTGGCTCGCTGGGGGATATTTTGGGCACTGAGCTTTGGGGCGGGGGACGATCTTGGGATGGCCGCCGGCCCTGCGCTGCCCGCTGGGGCGCGGGCGCCGCCGGCTGCTCGGCGCCCATTGGACTCCGTGCCGTGGGGCGTCCAGCGCGGGGACTGGAGCTCACCTGGGCAGCTGCCGGTTAGTCATCCGGGCCGGGGCGGTGGACACGCTGTGGCTGTGGCAACCCCCGTCGGAGTGTGGCAGAGGGAGGGCCGTTGGCATCCAGTCACCCCCGACTGCTTGCTCCCTCGCGCGTTCTCGTGTTTTGGCAGCTTTTGCAGTGTGCCCTGAACCTCGAAACCAAACTACTAATATGTCGGGGACTTCAGTAACCGTGTGGCGGGAACAATGCCTTCCCCATGCAACGAACTGATGTTGGCCGCAAGCTTGCATCCGACCACGTCCGACAGCCACAGCAAAATCGTTGTTGCGGTGGTCTGCACGCGCGAGCCCCTGATGACACTCAGAACGAAAAAGAACAACCGGAATCCAGTACATGTCAACCTAACACCAACCATCAATGCCAACTAATATGCCAGCAGCAATGAGCAGATCGCTGTTGCGATTTCAAGCCTGCCACGTTTTGATTGCTGCCCTGAGTATTCGAATTCCGTGGGCGGCCCCACACATCGCTCTTTCCGCCAAAAAGTTCACGTGTTGGGTGTGAGACTGTGTTAGAGTGCTTCACGAATTCCACAAAATAAGGGTGGGCTTACAGGCGGATTATCTCCTTCGTCAGGGGCAGTGTACTCACTTGCAGCAAATGGTAGCTATGGTTGCTTTCTGCACATCGTTGAGTCAGCGACGACAGCCATAAGAATTCATGCATCGCCAACGTGCAAACGGCGAAGCACGCTCAAGATGATGTGTACTCTGGCTGACATCCTTCTGGTTGCTCCACATGGTCTGTTTGGTTTGTTCACTTGACCTATTTCTTTAGGTACTGTATTTAAGCCCTTTGGCTGCGTGGGTGCAAGCACCAGCCGTCATTCATTCTGTGTGCAGATTCTCTTTTAATTACGAAGTGTCGTGAAGTTTCCACCTGCGCATTTGCTGACCATGTTGGTGTCACTGGGTGCCTAACTCGCAAACTATTTGCTTGGCTGCAAGGGTGGAGCTCATGGTCAGTTCGCCGCTGTGCCCCTCAACCTGTTTGGTAAGCGCTTGGAGCTGTTCTTGGTTGAAGCTCCCATCCTTGGACTTTTCGTATTTCTTGGATCACGGTGCTGTGGCTAGGAAAAGTCGAGAATCTGAATACGCTGCATTCTTTTTGGAGGTGCTGGTGAGCTAAGTATGCAACTCGTGCCTCCAGCTCCTGTTGTTCCCTGTGGATTGCGAATAACAATGTTCAGTTCGATGAGTGGTTTCAGTGTGGCATTCTCGTGCAGGCAAGGGGGGCAAAGGAGACTATGTTATTGGTGGCAACTGGTCCACAAAAGCGATGAAGGAGGCGTCAAAGTATGGGGAGGTCAGGGTTGTGGAAGACACGACATCAAAGGGAAATGCATACTATGCACCTGTTGATGAGTGGTGAGCTGCACTTTCCGATCTGCAAAATCCGATTTGATTTGCTGATAGCACATTTGCAAGTATCGCATGAGAGACCATTGTCATTGCACCTACAAAGCAGATGATTTTCGCCATTTATCCTCTACTTGTTAGATCCTGGACACCTGGTGGGCAGTCTGGTTCTTTTGGGTATCAACACTATTTCAAGAGCACCTTGTAAACTGGCTGTGCACAAGAGCTTGAGTGGTTCCAAGAATTGGGGTTATTTGGACAGTAGCACCCAGATTCAACACTGACGGCAGCCAGCAGGTGAGTATTTTCCTGCCTTTGACAGGAATATGCCCCCACCCTCAGCTGTTGGATTGGCCCTTCCCAGCAAAGAACAGTGTTGAGTGGGTCTGGATGCCCCTCACCTGGAGGTGTTAATCGTGGCCTCATTCAAACTTCATGCCAGCATTTCCCTGCATTGTGTGACTTCCTCAATCTGTTTTGTGTTTGAGCGAGGTAGAGATGTTAGGTCCCTCTCCACAGATTGAGCTGCAATGCGGTGCAGATCGGAGTACTGCAAGGGAAATGAAGACCGGGCTGGAAAGCATTGTTTCCCTTGAGAGAAGATGTGCTGCCCGCTGCAGGGAACTGTCAGACGACTCGGCATATGTGCATGTGTGCACCAACGAGACGGTGCAAGGCCTTGCGATGCACGAGGACCCTGATGTGGGGCCTAACCATGTCCTGGCAGCAGACATGACCTCCAGCCTGTTTTCACGGCCAGTTGACGTCAGAAAATACGGGGTGATCTACGCCAGCGGGGGAAAGAACTTGGGTCCTGCGGGATGCTGCCTCGTCATCGTGAGGGACGATTTGCTGGACCAGTCGCTGCCTCAGGTGAGCAGAGTTCTGGGTCCATGCATCATGGCGTATCCAGTACCTCCGCAGCCGTGTTGTCAATGCTGTCAGCCAGGCAAGGAGTATTGTTGGACCATGCTTTGGTGGAAGGAACAGCTGGAGGATAAATTGTCCACTGCATCGTTTCTGGGTGGCATGTTTACCACAACATTGGCCGTTTTTTTGGAGACTATATATATTGCGTTGTCTTTGTCATGAAGTCCTGGTCAGCTTGACATGTGGGCTTGGGGTTTAGGGTACACAAGAGGCAAACCAAACGCAGGAGTAGTTTGAAACCCAATGCATGTTGGGGCCAATGTGCGCGTCCAATGCACTATGATCCCGGGCGTTCTGCCATGCTCAGTAATGCTTCTCACAGGACTGCATAGCATCAAGAAACATTAGCACATAGCTAACATACTGCCTCTTTGCAAAAGTCTCGTCCATTGTCAAGTTGGCCCAAACGGAGGCCAAAACCTGTGAGTCAGAAAATTTGGCCGAAACAACTTCGATGCGCCTTATTGAGAGCTAATCATAGAGCTCCCAACGTAACAAACAACACTGCCATTCTTTTTACACGGCCAAAAGATCGGAAGCAACATTTTTGCCTGTGTTGGGGCTACAGCAAGTTTATCTTCACACTGCCATAGAGGTTTATCAAGCCGAGCTATCCCCAGGGGAGATTTATGCATTTGTGGTTTGGTATGCACGAAAAACGCGGCTGGATTCCAAGCGAAATTTGAAGCGCAAAGGATGGGGGGTTATCGCAGAATTTTGCGTGTTGAGAAGCACTGCGCAAATGTTGAGGCCAAAGGCCAAGAGAACCCTGATCTGTGCAAGGGCATCAACCTGGTTGGTCCACCAAGGCCTGGAAGACCGTGCACAGTGATCCTAACCAAATGACGGCCTGGGCTGAGAGGCCAACACGGCCAGTCGTTGAAAATTGAGGATTCTGGTATCACAATGCAGCACAGTTAAAGAACTTGTGTAAAACGTGCTTGAGCTCAATGATGCGAACTCTTGAAAGGGTGTAGTAATGCTCACTTGTTGCCTGCAACAAATTTCTTGAAGCATTTTGGGGAAATGGGTTCGAACACACCAGGACAAGGCATGCACCAAAATATGGGATATTGAGATCCCGGCAGAAATGGAAAGGCACAATTTTGTTGCATGGTCATGACTAATGTGATCAAGATCCCACCAACCCAAAATCGACCAAAGAATCCGAATTTGGTGACAGATTAACTGAATAACTCTTGAAAAGTTATATCAAAAGAAAACGGGATAACGGAAAAGTCTTTGTAACAGTGGTAGTATGAATTTCTGCTCCCACAGTGCTGCTCAGTAATGCAGTCACTTGTTTGTTCGTTTTCTCTTCTTTTGTAGAGATGCTGTGTGTGGTCTGGCGATTGTGCTTCCAGAAATTTGGCTTTGCCCTACTATGGCTTTGATGTATTTGGTGAAATCTTTGAAGTCACTTACTTGCAGATTGAAGGAGATCCTGTTATTTTCATTTATCTCATGAAGCGCGCATCTTCATCACTGGTGTATTGCCATTCTGTTACCATTATGTTACAATTTGTTCACCAAATAACCCAAAATCCAGGTCTCGTTTCCGGAAGAACAATGCAGGTGTGGTTCATTTCTTGCCGTTGCTCAATAGTGTATCCTGCACTCCCAACACGGACTCGCGACTTGGTGGCCTGCCAGTAGCAATCCCACGGCTGCAGCCCTGCGGGTAAAAGCATCCGCCTGTCCCTGGTGTTAGTGGTGCCTGCTACAGTGTCTGCCTTGTGTGACAGTTGGTGGGGTGGAACCTTGGGCAGTGAGTGTGTACCTGTTGTTGGAGGAGCTGGTGTAGCGCCAGCATTCAGATTCCAACACGTGCGGCACGCAAAATATAAGTAGAGGGCGCGCGATATCCCTGCGTTGGCTGTCCAACATCGCGGTATTGAAATCGGTGCTTGGCCTCAGATACAGTGCAGCAGTGTGCCCTCAGCGACTCCAAACCTGCAGAGACAGAGACTTGGATTTGGTTAAAAGGGCAGGTGCATTGTTACCCTGGACACAGGTTTCAGAAAAGAGAGGTTTGTATGGATTGCTTTGGTCAATGAGTGCAAGAACGCAGCCCCCACACCTGAAAAGCGGATGTCTAGCAAGTCAATGACTTGCTTTGGGCTCTGGCGTTCGTGGCAAACGTATTCGTGACAAATGCGGGGAGTTTGCCCAGAATTCGTTTGCCGCGAATTCCCGAGTCCGAAGCAAGTCCTTTGGAATTATGTGGGAGCCATTTCCCACATACTGTTCAGACATGCAAACGTTGGCAGAGGCAAAACAACACTCAAACGGGATAGAGCCATTTGAGCTCAGGCCCAGTCAGTCCCATTTCAGCTTCTTGGCCGCAAGGGCACGAGAAAGTGTGCAGATTTCCTGCGATTGCGCTGGGAAATCTGGTCGTTTTGATCTCAGGCTGCAGCTGTAACTGTACCGCCTTGGACGCGCATTTGCAAAAGGGCCTCAACGCCTGTCAGTGCATGCGTGAGCGGCAGCTGCATGGTACTTCGTATAGCAGGAGCCGAGGTGCTGCGTCCCTGTTGGCATAAGGGATGAAAGGTCATGTGGCAACATCCTCCACTGATGAAGGATTCCTGCAAAGTAGCGGCCCCCACACGTGAACAATGTGTTGGATTCCTTCTGATACTATGCAAAAAAAAGCCTGGCAGAACAGGGCATTTCATTGCCCCAGTTCACAGGCATCATCTGCTCTATATGCATGGATGGCAGGTCCTGAAGGTTCCGACCATGACCGGCTGTCCGCACCGAGAATCGGGCCTGCCCCTCCTTAGCGATGCAAAAAGGAGAGTTGCTAGAGGGGCAGGTCGCTTTTGGTTCGGCTGGCGGCTTAGAAAGCTCTGTTTTGCTTCGTTGAACAGAGACTGCCCGGGCATGACAATCGTGGTGGTTGTGTTACCTGGCAGCCACACCGTTGGGTACATATTGTTACTTATGGCCTGCCAATATGTCCACACTGTAGTTTCTATCCAAGGACATACCTTGCACCTGTGTGTGATCATTGCTACTGACTCGTGGCTGTGCAATGCATCAGGTGGCCCCAGCCGGGTGTCTTGTAACGCTCACCCCAAATGCTCACCCCAAACTTACCACTGCATGACAAATATGTGTTTTTCCCGCAGACCCCATCCATACTATCATGGAAGGTCGCCAACGACCACAACTGCCTTTATTACACTCCAAACGCCTTTGCCATATGGTGCGTTGGGGTCATCACTGGTGACCTGCTGGCCAGATACGGTAATCTCGAGGAGGTGGCAAAGAGGAGCAAGCAGCGCGCAGAAATGGTGCGTCGGTGGTCAGACTTGAATGCCGCAAGCTGTTTGGTTGGCTTGGTGGTCAGACTTGGAAGTTGTGAGCTTCCTTTCGAAGCTTTTCCAGACTGAAAGATTGTTCTGGTGCTGTGTGCATGAGTGGGCGTTTGTGTCCTGGCTCGACACCAACAGAATGGGCAAATTGGCAGTTTCTTCCTCGCTTGTTAGTGCCACCGATTTCGTGCATCGTCTTTTGCATCTTGCTGTTTGTGTGCACGTCTGTGCGAATGGTGGTCTTCACCAAGAGCCGAGATCTGAACATGCAAATATTCTGTCTGGTGTAGGTTTACAAAGTGATTGACAATTCAGTGGGTTTTTACACCAACAACGTCAGGCCCGATTTCAGATCCCACACGGCCATACCTTTCAGGTGAGAGTCCTGGATTCTTTTGGTTGGTGCTCGGAAGGCGTGACGGGAGTCGTGTTCTGGCGACCGACACATACAGGACGAGTGAATGAAGCACTATCTGTTATTCGTTTGACAAATCAAGGAAAGTAGCTGATGCCCATGTCTCCCCACCCCAACACACTCCCTTTTCCCTCTCCTGAAGAATGAGCCAGGATAGGCAACGAAATTCCAGACTCTTGAAACAGTGGAGATTTGCTGGCACAGAAGAGAAACGTGATTTTGTTGTGTCTGTAGTGCGAAGTATGGCTGCATAGCAAAAGAGCAGCCCAGAGCATTCCTGTCAGGAGAAGACTCTCCTATGCATGTCGTACTGTTCTGTGCCAATGCACAATCAGCGCACACGAGCATGAGTAAGAAATTCCCCAAACTGTGCCAGATAGGCGGGCGACTTTTTGCCACTCATCATCCATTCTCAACAGAGCTTCGTGCAGACACGCCACCAACACACTGTATTCTTGTCTGGCATGGGAAGCCCAAGCAAAAGGCCTGTCTTCCGGCTTGTAAGTGCATAGAAAAACAAAGGAAAAAGTGCGCCTCACCTCTTCCAGTGATTGTCGTCGCCCACAAGACGCAATGCCTTTGGTCGTTGCAAGCCTGGCGACAAACGGATTCCGAGGAGCTCGCCTCCCCCAGGTGATTCCTCTACATGCCCATGGCTTGCTTGCTGTGCTTGAAGTGGGCACAGGCTTGCAGTGGGGGCACCTTGCTCTTTTGCTACCCAACACTGCCTGCCCCTTGCTGCAGAATCCGCGATGGCGTGGAGGAGCTGGAGAAGAAGTTCATCCGCGATTCCGTGAAATGTGGCCTCCATCAGACGTTTGGGCACTCTTCTGTGGGCGGCCTCAGGGTCGCCATCTACAACGGACTACCCGACGAGTCGCTTAAGGAGTTTGTCAAGTTCATGAAGGATTTCATGGACACCAACGCAGAGTGACGTGGACAGTGGTGGGAGTGTGGCGCTTGGCGTTGTGAGAGGCTGATGGTTGCGTCCCTTATCGGGGCGCGTGGACCGCCTTTGTTTCTTTGGGGGGCTGTAGAATATATTGGTGGGTGAGGGGTGGGTTGTATGTACTTGCAAAAGGAAAACCACACACGAAGCTTTGTTGAATTGGGTTTGTATCATACTTGTGTTTCCAAAGGGGAGGGGCAATGGGGCGTCCTGTAGAAGGCAGAAGACTGGCGCCGTATTGGGGGACCCGTGGGGCATGGAACAGCGGCAGAGCGAGTGGAAGGGTGAGTGGAAGGGGCTTGTCTGCTGTGTGTCTCTTGGAGGGTTTCAGACGGCCCCACATGCTCCTCCTCGAGATTCTGTGATGCAAGCGCGGCCTGTTGACGGATTTGTACGCTTGCTGCCCAGTCCAGGCGAATGCATTGGGAATTACTTGGTTAGCCAATTGTTTGATTGTTTGAGAAGGCCGCGCTAGAATTCGTGGGAATGAGTGCTGCAGTTGCGGCTGTTGGAAGGACCGAGAGGCTCATCCGAAGGCGGTTGGCGAGGTGGACCTCGACCACCTCAGAGGGTGGAGGCGTGGTGGAGGAATGTTTCTTTAGAGTTTGGATGGACATCAACGACATCGAGTGTCGGTGCAATGACGATATCAGAACATCGCAGGAATCATGGCGGGCGTGCTCCCGCCGCGAATTTATGGAATTTGTCATGTGTTAAGGTGACGCATGTGCCTGTGTCGAGGCGGAGCGCCGTGGGGTGTGCAGAAGCCGACATCCCAGGAGTCTTATCCAGGCCCTGTCGCACAATCGATGTGCCTTGCGGCACCCTTTTCCGACATCACTCTCACTAGCAGAAAACGCCATTCGGAGGGTGCCTGCTGTGATGCCATGTGGCAATGATTATTGCCATCACATTACTTTGATGCCATCGCAATTGTGATGGCGCCACTTCCTGTCTGAACGGCATGGCAGTTGGCTTCACCAGAATGGTGTTCGCCACCCTTATGTACGTACACATATACCACATGGCCTACCATACTGGCAGCTGCTGCCTGCATGCTGAATGCGCATTCTGCTTGCTTAACCTGTCGGAGCACCTGCCGATTGTGAGCGCTGCCCTCCGCTCAGAGTCCCGCCCTTTTGTCGTAATGGGTTCGGCAGCAGCGGTTGGCGCCCAGCCAGACTGGAGGGTGCACTCCAATGCACACTCACCTTTCATTGCCATGCTCTGTTGCAACGACGACACTCCCGACGGCTCAACAAGGCGCCTGGAGGGTGCGAAGGCAGAAACCAAGGCGACGACCACATACCACCAGGAACTTGTTGCCCATTCCGCACAAGTTCTGACCATGCGCATACACTAGCCTCTGGCGCTGGATTGCGAATGGATATTTTGTGGTAAGGAAAGACAATGCCTTGGGCTCCGCACGCTTGGCGCTCATGATCCTTCTGGAAGGGCTACGGGGTGTGAGCGCTAAGGGATTCTCGTGAATGAGCTTAAATCACAATATTCTCCAAGAGATATGTGCAAAGAACAATAGCGCATATCAGGCTTGTTATTTACAGCGTAAATACTCCCGATTTTATCAATATTTTCTTGCAACAGTAGTTTTTACGTTCATACGCATGAATACGCATAAACATGCGTAAAAATGGTCCGCATGTACATAAAGACAGTACATACAGACTCAGAGAGTCGGAGAAGTGGCAGTCAGAAGCGCTGGAATGGGCAGGAAACGACCATTTGTTCGGTGACGTCTTTGCCCTTGGTGAGGGCGAGGTGGACGTTGTGTTTAGGGTGATTAAGGGTGCAGAGGACTGATCATTGTTCAGGACATCATCAGGTAGCACGGGTGTGTCTATGACCCGTAAAAATGCGCAAATATGGCCGTAAAAGTGGCCGTTACTTTATTTACGCGTTTCTGCACGTAAAATATAGACGTATAATGGTGCCATAAATAGCAAGCCTGGCAATATACAGCTGTATAATATACAGCCGTATCGCCTGTACAGGCGATGCGTACATTACAAGGATTGCCAAATGCTTGCATATTGCAGAGCGCTAAATGACGAAAATAGTGTTGTACCAGAACCAACCCGTGCAAGCCACGGACTAACTACCGCTTTGGGTGTGTTTTCAGCGGTGCTCATGAAGTAGGAAACGTGGAGTTGCGACTTCTGCAAGCAACGTGAGATCTCCCTCTCTCCCACCTCGCCAGGCCTTCAACAACAACTCCCAGTCGTTATCATCCAAATCACCACCAAATTTCTCAGAAGAAAATTGGTACGAAGTAATCCGAATCTGCAGGTTGGAATCTAAATATCTGGGTAGAAATGCGCAGTCACCATGTGTGGAGTTCTCGAGAGCTCTCCAGAAATCTCCAAATCTCTGAAGTTCCAGAGGTGCAGGCCTGTTTGACAACAAATGAGGAATTGCTGTGGGCGGTAGCCCTGCGCTTTCACGAAGCATGCCCATGTATACAGAGCGCTTCTGGGCGTGTCAAGCCTGTTGCCCATGAATCAAAGCATGGTACAACGTTGATTTTGGTTGCAATCGTGAATGTCGTCGCCTGAGGACTCGGGTCGCTCGCCGTTCCTCCCGTCTCCAAAGATCGACGCCTTGTGCCCCGAAATTTCAAGGCACCGATAAGCACTTGCTGCGCTACCGTTGACTCTTCAAGTGCTGTTGAACTGCAGCTGAGCCCAGCTGGGCTCCCGCTGCCGCACCCGACTTACTATCTGGCCCCAGTGTGAAACCTAGACCGCCTTCAATGCCCGAGTGCAGCGGGCAAACATGGCGCACCAGCCTGAGCAGCCATTGCGAATCCGTCAAAGGAAGGCAGATGATGTCAGTGGCGCGACGCTCCACGCAGTAAGAAGTGGCGCATGGGAGCGCGATCATAATCTGACAGGAATTCACAATGTGACACCAGTTTCTGATGCAATCCTCTGGTCAACGAGAGAGCGCTTTGCGAGGTGCCACGTGCTTCAACTATGCGATGCCGCACGCTGAAAAGGACTTTTAAGCGCGCCATGCACGAGGATAAACAGGGCCAAGTAACACGTGTTCAAACGTGTACAAAGTTTACGGGTTTGTGTTATTTCCGTGTTTCTAGCATGCAGAACACTGATGAAATGCATACATGTGTGTTCGTCAAAAGTGCTACTTGGTCCTTCTTTTGCTAGTGATGCGATTGTTGGGTCTCTTTAACGCGCCTTTGCTCGTCCTGTACTCAATTCAGCATGTTTTTTCCTGCATGTATATGCAGAAATATATTTTTGCCCCAGCTCATTTTAGCAGCTGCCATGGGAGTGGCATTCATGCGGCAATACGTGAATATTTAGCAAATGCACGAAATGTTACCCATACTTTGTTCCCAGAGGGTATTCAGATGGTCAACTACAGAATTTCGTCGATCAGATCTCGTTCAACGCAGGTTGCTCTCCAAGACCATCTCAACAGAGTCCTGGACATATCTGGAACTGGAGCATTAAGGCTTCCGTCAATCCGTCCTGTAAGTACAGAATAATCGAGCCATCATATAACTGTGTGCCTCTTTAAGCACATACGGAGCATTCCATATGTGAGCACAGATACATTAAATCTGATGAAATGGTAAATGCAGCGTATTCTTTTGTAGCTGCTTTCCGAAAATTGATTCAAAATCGGCAGAAGCCGAACGTACACTATTTTTGCGCCTCACGTCCTATAGTTGATTCAATGCATCCTTATATTGCGCTCTTGACAATACTCAAAACAATGTGGTTGCATTAAAATGGTTCCTGAGTACAAAATTAAGTTGCACTGGCAATTCCAACTATTAAGTCTCGCAGTACCATTTTAAATGAATGGTGTTGCTCTGTCAGACAAAACTTGCATATCCTGAATATACATATTCAGGTTATGGCCATATCCCAGGATGCTTGCGCTCATATCCTGGCTATGGAGAGTTCCTACCCAGGGTATGTGGCTTTGTACCGACGCCCCTTTGCTGGATGCATCCTTGCGCCTGTGGTCTCTGTGTATTATTTACACAATCTATTGTTCCACTTAACATATCAAGGACTCAACGTTGATGAATCTACTCATCTAGACATATACGCAAAATGATGGGATTGTGGTTTTGTCGTCCTTTAATATAACTGTAACCCCCAACCATCCGTGCCTTTTTGCGTATGCACTTCCTTGCGCTCGTTTTTTCTGTTTTGAGATTAAGCAACTTGGGTGATCAGGGGGCCAAACTGACGCTTGCACAGCAAATCGGACTGGTGGACAAGCCCCCGAAGGTTTTGACCCCGTCAGAATGGAGCGCAGTTCACGAGATGTCAAGAGGGCGGCAGCACACGAGCAGGGAGTGCGCAATCTGCATGGAAGCGTTCGCTGGAGACGAACAGGTGACTGCATGAAGTATCACTTGAAGTGGCATGAGCTGCTGCAATGGCTGAAGCGCTCTTGGCAGTGATCTGAAGCGGTCCATTGCCAGTGAGTGACTAACCATATATTTACATTATCCGTTTCGTTGCGATTATGTGCGCAACTGATCATTTGATAAATGTGGACTTGAGGCCAAGGATCCACGCGAATGGGAATTAGATCGCGGTTTGACGACTGTGAGCAACAGGACTCGGCGGGCCTCACAACAATGTAATTTGGCCGAATGCGCCGGCTCGTATTTCGACAAGCTATAAAATAAGCAGTGATGGCAACTCAATGTATGAATAAACAGATTCAAGAAATGTAAATACAAGCAAACAAAAGGCGCTACATTTGCCCATAGATTCAAATGGGTGGAACACAATGCGTTAATAGGCAAGCGTCACTATTTCCTTAACGACACAACGTTTATTTACTCTCTATTTACAGTTTCTGTGAAATTGCGCAATTTAAAACTCGGGTTTGACGCAAAGGAATATGGGGGAATGTCATTACACATCAACTGCACGAATGCAAGATACGATGCGCATTATCAGAATATTCTCGGTAAA